AATAATAATAATAATAATAATAACAATATTTTTTAGTTTTATAAAGTCACCTCCACTGACCATAAAGGTTTCCGAAAAGGCCTTGAAAAGGCCCACGGACCACTAGTTGATAATCACAGTTTGTTTTGCGGCTCCGGACACATTTTATTAGTGAGACAAGGAGCACAAATGGCTCTTTTGATGGTAAAGTTTGCAGACCCCTGTGCTAAACTGTGAGGTCACCTTCACAGCTRCAGGCCCAGGTGTGCTAAGTGTGATATCCTTTTGTTTTTCCCCGGCAGAGCATCATGCTTCGGTGGCAGCCCCCACCCCTCAGCGGGCAGAACGGCGAGATCATCAGCTACAAGATCCGTTACCGGAAAGGATCCCGAAGGAGTGAATCGGCWGTCACCACTGCAGGCGCTCAGCTTTACAAGCTCATTGACGGTAATGGTTCTGTCGTTACTTCTGTCTGAGTGCTGCCGGACCTGTTATCTCCTCCTAAATGTTGGTGATATCGCAAAGACAAACTGTGTTCTGAAAGACCTGCTTTAATGACTCCTAAGCCCCGCCTCTATCGTCCAGCCTCACTCTGTTCAGATCACTGATCAGATCGCTGTTGTGGTTTTATCGTCTGGTAGTCTGATTTTTTATTTTATTTTATGTTATTATTATTATTTGTCACATCACTGTTATAAAGTGCGTGTGAAACTGTGGACAGCCAGTTTTTTTCCGAAACCTCCCGGCTGCCTCCAGCTCAAGCTGTCTGCGCTCGTCTCCTTCACCTCTCTCCAGGAAGAGTTTGCAAGTTCTGCCTCGGTTCTGAGGTCAAAACCGTAATCATGCAATACTCTGTGTCACCCGCTCAGAACCACCTCAGAGGTAGTTCTGAAAGCACGGCTGGAACTGGAAATGGAGACGCATGTGGCCRAGGCAGAAACAAGGAGAACCAGGCAGGCCCGTGGAGAGGAGGCTTGTGTGTTTCACTGCTGCTGGATATAACTAACTCAGATCTAACACGTTCAGAAGTAGCAGCTTGCATCCAGATCAAAATCTAATTTTCTAGTCATTTTTCAGTTTCTCAACTGGCTTTGATTCATTCTGAGAGGATGGAAACCTAAGAAACTCTACCTTTTATCCAGTGTGCTATAGTGACAGGTGTGATTCATGTGGAAAAGTTTCACTCCTGAATTAAAAAAAAACATAAAAATTCACAATAAATATATCTTAAATCTACAAAGTTTCTGAGAGGTATCACTAGGTTGTATGAGAGAGTTCAACATAAAAAAGGAAAAACTATTAAATAAATATTTATTATCCACATAAATAAACCAAATTTACTAATAAATGTACAGTCAATCAGTCGTTGAGAATGTGTAAAGGAGACAAAGACCGGTTTGAGATTTTAGCAAAAATACTCCATCATACTGTAATAGTGTGAAGCACTTTGGACCATTTTATTTATCGTTACTTARCATTAGTAATGTTCTGCCTTCCGGTTTTTTAAATAGAAGTAAATAAATCCGGTGTTAAAATTTTATTTTTAAACAATCAGTCATTCACACACTGATGGTGGTAAGCTACAATGTAGCCTCAGCTGCTCTGGGACAGAGGCGGGGTCTCTGCTACCAGACCCTCTGACCACCAACAGCAGGCAAGGTGGGTGTCTTGCCCAAGGACACAACGACTGAGACGGCTGGAGCGAGGATTCGAACTCGCAACCTACTGAGTACAGGACAAAATCCTACCTCCTGTCACCGCTGTCTCCCCTAAAAGCCTGACAAGCTGATGTTGRTTAATTATTTACCCTCTGCAGAGAACCTGTAGGAAGCTGTATTTTTCTCTTGCTAACATGCTAACTCTTGTAGCTTGTTGCAAATACTTCCAAACARCATTCAAAGAGAGGTGGGTGCTGGGTGCTCTTCTGCTAGATGAGCCAGGACGGACTGACTGTGTTATCCACCAGATCACAGTACAACAAATCAAAGTTGTTTTTATTTTTTTAAACAAGCCTWAATGTTTAGGGCAGTAGTGCCCAATCCTGGTCCTCCAGGTCCACTTTGTTCTGCTGTTTTTAGTTATTTCCCTGATTTTCAACATTTCCTCGAGTTCTGCAGAAGCCTGTTAACATGCAGGGTAGGATTAGACAGCACAGTTTTAGGGGGGTCCTCCTCAGCTGCTGTACACTACTGAATGACAGCAGGTCCAGTCTCGGAGGAGGGAAATTAAAAATACGCCCTGTCTTTGTTATCTGGGTTTTTGTCATTTGAATGGTAGAAATGATGGAAAAATGTAATTTATAATGAGTTGAAGACCAGAAATAAATAGGCCACCAAATTGGACTGGGACTAAAGGTGATAAAAGGGAAAGATTTTAGAACAAAATTAGAAGAAATAGTTTCAATTGTTGTTTTTTCTCGTCCACTCTCATGTTTTATTTGATTTGCACACAATCAACATAAAAACCACTCTGTCACCTAAACATTGATGCCAACAAAACGCAATAAAAAAAACCCACACATTTTCGCCTCGGGTCATGTTTTAAATAACCGAGRGTCTGCCCTGATGTCCGCCATTTTAAACCAATGAGAGCACACTCAGCGTTTTGGCAGCAACAGGCCCAGCTGCATCAAATGAGGCAACAATTTACAACACGAGAAGGTGAGGACCGTCAGTTTGAGCAGAATTTCAACACTTTTTTTTACATGCATGATTAGTGATGCAGTTAACCAAAGTGTGAAAACTGGCATTAACACAAAAACAAACATCAGCAGTGTCCTCAAAACGCCCCTGCTTGTCGTCACTTTGTCTTTAGAGCTGTCGCTTAGATCAAAGATGGTGTTGACGATAAGTATGAGCAGGACCAAAAAGATGTGAGAAACTCTTAATTGATTTTTGCCCTCGACTCCAAAGTGTTTGTAGCAGTTTTGACATTGGGTCTCCTGGATGGTTTCCAGCTCCTGTCAGTTCGTCCTCATTTCACAGACACGTTTCAGTCTGATTAAAACGCTGAACCCAGACAAAAAACTTGTTTACTCTTCAAAAAGATCACTCCGCTCCCTTCAGATGGGCTTCAGCGTTGAATCTTTTATACCATCAGACTCCATTTAATCTCCGCTGAACGGGTCTTAAAGAGTCATCTGAAGCGCTGCGATATTTAAAATCTTGATCGTGGAGCTTTGTTGTTTGCAGTCCTGCACGGTTGTAGGTCTGCGTCTTGGCTAAATACTTTCAAAACGGAGTTTGCGGGCTTTGCCATGTTAAGACGACGCTCTGCTGCCAGCAGAGCGAGCGCGATGATATCACCCGAGAGTCGCAGCGGTGGTGATTATTAATATTGCATGTTGTCTCAGCCACTTTCAAGTGGCCCGGCCTCACGCTGCGAGCAGCATCAAAGAGAATTTACACTTAAAAGTTGATTTTGGAGATCATCCCGGGGGGGTGAAGTGGAGGGGTGTTTGTTGGTTCAAAAGCATTAAGAGGGATATGTTGTAGCCTCGGAGGCATGGGTGGTTAGGTAGTTTTTGAAAGCCCCCCCCCAACCACTTTTCCCCCAAGGGTGGAGCAGAACAGTGGGTGCAGAGAGAAATCACCACAGGATTAGTGCACAACCAGCACAATATGATGACAATGAAGAATTTTTATTGCAAATTAATACAGAAACACATCATTTGTCAGCATCCCCCCCACCCACACACACACACACACACACACACACATCCTTGTATTTGCATCAAACTGAGGACATTATATGTCATACGTTAATTGAAAATAAAACATACAGACTATCGCGCCAGAATGCAGCTGCTATTATTTAGCCATGGTTAGATCTTAGCTATATGCTAACTAAACATAACTGCTGTGGAAGGCAAGTTCTGCCTTGCAGATATTGTATTGCACAGGTTTCTCTTTCAGTTTCTTAAAATGATCCCACACCTTTGAGCTCCATTGCAGGGTAGCCATGATCCCATGATACCAGAGCCTGTCTTGAGACACCCACAGCCTATCCCAGTTACCACTACTGTACATGTGTGTCAAGGACAGAAAGGCAGATGTGGCAGTGGAAGGTGTCAAAGTAGTTTGGAGAGAAAAACAAATTAAAGAACAAAAAAAGACTAATCGATTATTAGTCATCGACTGTTTTAATAATCGATTAGTCGTCGACTAATCATGGCAGCCCTAAGTCAATCCAAGAGTTAATCCACGTNCACACACACACACACACACACACACACACACACACACTCGATGAATACCAAAGTCAGCACCCAGCAGTGATGCAGCGCTCTCAGAGGGAGTCATGGCTATAAAATATGAATGAATCTGAGGTACAGTGTTTTTTATGATTTCTCTTCCAGGCCTTATCTATCAGACTTTTCATCCATCAGATGGTTTCATTGTTTTTTTCTTATCTCAACACCGTATGCTTTTAAAACTTTAATAAAAGTGAAAAAAATAAATAAATCTCAACCGTCCTCAGAACAGCGAGTGGAAAAGAGCATTAACTGCACCTCAATAAGATTCATTTGATCCATCCTGAGGCAAGCTCAAAGATTTTCTCCTTAAACTGTTTAGAGCTTTTTGGAATTGGTTTAAGATTTTTATTTTATTTTATTTTATTATTGTGTCTCCAGAACTTAAGCTCTAAACTGAGTGGGAAGCATCAGTGGGTTAGGGAACAGAGAAGTTGTATTTATTTATTTTTTAAATAAAAGTAAAGTGAATCTGTATTTTTCCTGTCCAGGTCTTGATCCCGGGACAGAGTACTCGTTCAAGGTGACGGCCCTGACGGTGAACGGCACGGGACCAGCCACTGACTGGACCACAGCCGAGACCTTTGAGAGTGACCTGGACGGTAAGCWTTTTTTTTTATTGTTATTATTTTTCCTACAAATTAAAGAGAGTTTCTCACCAGGCTGCAGTTGTTGGAGGCATAAGTGTTAGAAAATTAGCTATTTTTGTCTTGAGTTAGAAGTATTTGTGACCAACGAGCCAGCTATTTTACTTGCATACTTTTTGTCCTCTTCATCTCATTTGGGACTGAACACCGCACATCTGTTGCTGTTTCCATAACAAGCCATTGTTTTATGGAGCAGGGTTGTCGTATGGGAAGAAACTTGTGTCATGAGAAACTGAACTTGAATTTCTCAGAATTAAATGCTTTGATTTGTAACTGAATTTCACTAAACTGAAACTGAATTTAATGCTTTGAAACTGACTTTTGGAATAAAATTGAGTTATAGATCTGAAAGTGAAGGTAATCAAACTGAATTTTTAATACAACAAATGACAGTTTCATTTAGATTCTAAGTTTTCAATTAGCTTCAATTGAGTGGAATTCATTTTACCAATGCATTTTATTTCAAATTATACAAAGATTCAGTCTGAACAATTCACATTCAGTTTCTGATAACACAAGTTTCTTCCCATATTGCCAGCTCTATGTCCAGCCATGAACCTGGAGGACCAGGTGCTGAATTTTGTCTGGCCTCTACTCAGAGTCTGGCCCATCCCGGTCAGACCTGCCAGGAGCTTACCTGTATTTATTCATGTATAATACGATCTCGAGTATAATACAATCATCATTTTTTGAGCTTAAAAAGCACAATAACCCATGTATAATACAACCCCGTCCCCCCAAATGTATGATTTTTAGGGTTAAATTTCTAGTATTAAACATGAATAAATACAGTAAGCCCCTGCCGGTATGGGTCTCAAGGGCCATTGAGACAATCTCTCCTACAAGGTATCAGCACAGAGGGGAGAAGCCAGGTTTTTTTCTCAGCAATATTTTTATTATCATAACTTATTTTTGTGTGCATGGTTTGCAAAATTGCATTTGTTGGCATGCACATTATTTTGTTGGTCATCTCAGCACACATCGTACCCATCTCAGAGCGCTTTGTACCACACTTATCAGCAGAGCCCACACTGAGAATTTAATCTGCTGGAGTACATTTTTAAATAAAGATGAGCAGATTTGGACCAGTTCTTCAATAAAAATGAGCACTTTTGTGTCAAAATATAGTTCTAGTGCTCATAAGACAGGTTGGAGAGGCAAATATGAAATGTATTCGAGGCACAATAGTGAACAACTACATGACTTTTTTTGAGAAACTAAAAATTAATTGGCCTATTTCAAACTTGGTCAATAAACCTGCAAGCCAAGATGCTTTAGAGGCTCCCATTCTGTTTACCAACTCATCACCAGCAGCTCCAGCCCAGTGAGAAACTGCCTCAAACCAGAACAAATCAACTCAGGTTTACRTTTCTCTACGTTTACCACAGAATCCAGAGTGCCGGACCAGCCAAGCTCCCTTCATGTTCGACCGCTGGTTAACAGCATCGTGGTGAGCTGGACGCCACCAGAGAACCAGGACATTGTGGTGCGCGGTTACACCATCAGCTATGGCATCGGAAGTCCCCACGCTCAGACCATCAAAGTGGACTACAAACAGCGCTACTACACCATCGAGAACCTCGGTATGAACAATCGCTCTGTCCTCTTCTGCGCTGCTGCCTGTTTATTATTTAGTTGCTGTCAGATTTGGCTTCGACAGCTCATGTTTTGTTGTTACTGAGATCTAAATTATGTATCTATTTGTCATAATTTCATTCCTGAATGTCGGATGATCTGTCAGATACTACTAATCAGATATTAATGTGCCTTGTGGGACTCTTTGCACTACACTGAATGTGGATACTTACAACAATTTACTTTCATGAAAAGATAAATGTGTCACATCTGATTTGATATGCTTAGTTTAATTAATAATGAGCGACGACACAGAGACACAAACACTATGAAACAGTTCACTGCTACCCCCATCATGAGTGAGGAAGGAATTAATTAGGTCCTCACCACATGCCTGAGCCACTAATTACACAGATTGGACTAACGGGCACACAATTCTTAAAGGTTACAGACTTCAGATGAAACAAAAGGCCTGGCGTTCCTTGAAGGAATGCATATCACCCACTGCTTTTCATGACAGTTTTAAAATAAGATCATCTTATGAAAAAGAGGGTGGAGTTAGACTTGCTTTGGTCACAACTTGTGTCACGCACAATCTCGTGTGAGAGGTGCAACATGTATTAGCTCTCAGASTAAATGTTGTGGATTACTGTCAGCTACTACCATGCCACATATTAGCTCAKTGTTTGTAAAACTGACTGAGTTTTACAAGTTGAGAATCTCCAGAGTTTGGCTTGATTAGATGGCTGCGTGGGTTTATCTCACTCCTCTCTGTCTTTCTCCCACAGACCCCAGCTCCCACTACGTGATCACGCTGAAGGCCTACAACAACGTGGGAGAGGGGATTCCTGTGTACGAGAGCGCAGTCACCAGACAACAGTCAGGTACGAACTGCACACACTGAGCTACATTTTTATATTTTGTTCGAACAGCTCAAAAAKTTAAATTCTTCCACTGCTCAACCCCAATATAAGGGATGCAGCACAGGCTGTGAGGCTGTGCTCATCTCAACTGACAGTTATCTTTGCCCTCTCTAACCTGACATCATTATCAGACAGAATGTGTCTCGACTCCAAATTACCAAAGAGAAAATAGGTCAGCAGCACGTTTCACCGCTTTAATTACCTCACATCGTCATGGACCCAAGTATACTTAAGTCTCTCTTTAATCAAACCATCAGAGCCTCAAATCTGGTCCCTTTAGCAGTCTTGATTATTAGGATACAGGAGATGATTTTCAGAATGTTGAAGTGGATTTTTGAATGAGTAAATCAGGCTAGAGATATTATGTAGGAGTAAACTATGTAGAAAAGTATGAAATATTTTTTGTCTCAGTCTCACTGGATTGTGATGTTTAGACACTAGTTGGCAACTTAAAATTGCAAAAAAAAAAGATGAAGAAAAGATAGGCAATATGCCTTTTTATTTGCAATCTCACTATTTTTTGAACCAATGAGCCGTGTGGTCGTGGTTTGCACAGACAGTTAAAAAAAAAAACATTTTTTTGTGCACATGTTCCAAACATTTATTCTAGGTCGTGTGCGTTATTTTGTTGCCCACATCATACCCGCTTCAATCTATAAAATGTATGCTTGAAAAATTTAAAGCGGGCTGACTCAGACCAGTTTTTTTAGAAGATATTTCAACAGCGTGGTTTTAGACCTGGACGTTYCGAGTCACATGAGGAAATCCAGAATGAAAGGCATTTTGAGGGATTTCCTCTAGAGTGGCTATTAGCAAGTTAGTCCCAACACTCCCAGCCCAATGAAATCCTGGCTGAAGCATCTGTAACATTTGGTCTCTAATGGCCTTTTTGCAGTGTAAGGACGGCCTGGCCCAAACTGGGTTCTGTATATTCAGCAYTTATGGCTCAATTCTATCCTAATTCCAGAGGCCTGTGGTAGTATTTGGCCCGGGCTGCTCAGCCTGATTTGACGTCAGTTACTGCTGCTCATTGATTGGTTTACAGAACGGGGAGATTTTGTCAGATAGATGAGATTAACTTTAGTTGAATYGTTTGCAGTGAYTGTAACGATACATAGAACAGCTGYAGCAAGCTACCAAACAACAACAAGTTAATATTAGCTACCATTAGCTTGYCATTCTCTGTCGAYTTGCCCTCTCGTCTTCAGCGTCATACTGCTGGATGGTAAAGCGTTTGGTACTTTTCCTTCGAGATCAAACTCCCCTTTGTTGTGTTGTAAATAAAGTGAAATAAGATTTGCACGTTTTTAATATGACGATCCCACCCACACTGAAGCAGAACTCTGCTTAATGTAAACAAAACCAGGGCCTGGTAGAACAAGACCACGTCGACTGGTGCTGGGTTTTACAGTGAAATAATGCCATCGTATCTGGTATCAGTTTGGCTTTTTGTTGAAGGAGTTTATTTGATCTCTTTCTGCAGTAGAATAAAACATACTTATTTAATTCAACCAAAACATAGACCAGTATGTTTGCCTGTTCACAAGGCATTTTATAATATTATGAGGCCTCAGATCACAGCTCTGTTAACAATTAGAAGTAGAACATCAGTCCCAGCGTGCAGAGCTTGACAACTGATTTCAGAGAGCAAAACGGCATCAGTTAGGCTGCAGGTTGGCTGAGTTCTTACAGTCTCCGTGACAGAGTAAGAAGATGAGCAGCCCGCGCTCCCCGGAGTGTCCCAGGATGTGGGCTGCGCCCGCCTCCAACGCTCAGCCTTGATCGCTGYAGTTTGTCTCTGCTGCAGCACTATTGCACCATTGAGTGCGAGAAGGGTGGGATGCCTGGTGACATGAATCACGTCAACATGCTTTGAGAGATAGAGAGGAAGAGCGGGGGTAGAGGTGGCAGCTTAAGTATGTGCACACACCCACACACTGTCACACTGTACACTCCTGTCTAAAAAGCCTCCTCACATCCTCGCGCACTCACTCCCGCAGACCCCCCGTAGTGGCTTTGGCAACCCTTCGTCAGATCCAAATGTTTCCTCTCAAAGCAGAACCAAAGCCCACCACCATCGTCTGCTGCTGAATCCTCGAGGGCGCGTTCCCTTCCTGCCAGTTTGTTCAAGTCAGACTTTAAAAGACAAGCTGACCTACATAGTACTTTTACTTTAGGAATAAAAAGAAGAAGAAGAACTTAGGAAAACTTTGTGAACTTGGGCTGAGAGTGCTTGGCTGAAAACWCGATGATGTTATGACGTCCTGACTGAAATACAGGAATTGAGATATTTCACTCCCTTATGGACAGAAACGTTTTTACAAGAACAAGTTCACCTCTTTCCTGCAGCCTTTCCCTTTAAATGCTGAGGACTGAATTCTTCCAAAATGGGTAGAGAACTCCAGTCTGTATGCCATTCCAAAACCTCAGTTTCTGAATCTCTCTCACACACACACACACACGCACACACACACACACACACACACACACACGCACTTCTTCTTCTTGAGAATATAATGAGGGCAACTCCGAACAGAGAGGTGTCAAATGGAGCGAGGCAGAGTATGGGCCCACCAAGTGATGGAGGAGGAGTGTCATCACGGGTGACCAAGCAAGGCTTTTGCCTCCAATCACAGCTAAACCGAGAACAGAAAGAGGAGCAGCCAAACCAGAAGCCCATCTCGAAGTATTTATCCTTTAGTATGTTGAGCCCCTCTCTCCCTCTAGACACATATTTATTTAGCTTTATGGAGTAAAATGGACACAGGCCATTCCCACAAACARATTCAAGTATTCTTTGCATAGGCACATACATCTAAAAGCAMATGTTTACATACACTGTATAAAAAGACACATAAACACATCTTTTCTTACTGACRTTAAATTAGACTAAACTGTTCCACAAKTATTACATWCGTACAKTTTTTCACCTGCTTTTTTGTTCATGGTTGCAGGGGAGCTGGTACCTGTTCCCTCAGGTACCTAAGTTCCACAGTACCTGTATTCCCTGGTACTTGTGTTCCTTAGTACCTACAATCTGGTACATCCATCTTTATGGAGACCTGGCATTGACCTCCATTATTTTCTACAGCCTAACCCTGACCACCAACCCTAAGGCTAACCTTACAGGTACCTACCTGACCCTAAAACTAATCTAAACTCAATTCACACCTTAGTCCTAAACTGAACCCCCAACCCACCAACAGCATTTCCCTATTATGGGGACTAGATTTAGGTCCCCATAGGAAYCAGTCAGGTCCCCACAAGAGGTGTGTATGCCAAAAAACTTTACCACAATGTAGGGAATACAGTCCTTTTATTCCTTGGTACCTGTGTTTCCTTGTACCTTTATTTTCCAAAACCTATGTTGTCCCAGGGTTAATAATGAAAATCATTAAAGATGAGATGCTTGGCTTCCCCTTAAAAGAAAATACTGAATGACAGTGCAGACATTGTCCCGGGGAACATATAGATGACACCTAAAAGAGGCGGGGAACCTCCTGGGTACTCCAGTTCATCATAGGACCATATATACAAATACAGTATATACTGTGTGTACAAATACATATAGACAATGAAGACAATCAACCACATTCTTGCTCTGTGGGAAGAAACCAGAGAACCTGCAGTAAATCCACGAAGGCACGGGAAAATCATTCCAACTCAAAGAAAGGCTGCAGGCAAGAGTCAAACTTGCAACACTTGTGCTCTGAGGTGGTCTCCATGGCCAAACTGTTCAGTTTTAGTTTCATCAGACCACAGGACAAGCCTCCAAAAATTGTGTGTACTTCAATTTGTAATCTTGCTTTTTATGCTGCTTTCAGAGTAATGATGTCCTTCTTGTTGAGTGGCCTTTCAGTCCACGTTGTTTCGTCGTGGATAATGACTCTTTTACCAGCTCAGACAGTGGAGAAATAGTATTTTCATACTGTTTCTATAAACATCAGTTTCCAACTGTATATAAATTGCTCTTCCATTTAGAGCAAAGCAACAACTYACTTGATGGCCGAAATTGCTGATTTTAATGACTCAATTCACCACTGTTTAGATTTAATTGCCATTATTTAACGTACATTTTACTGGTGTCAATGTGAAAAAAAAACATTGCTTTCTTTAATAACTTGTTCCATTAGTTGCATAATTAAATTTGTTGATTCAGGTACTCTAATTTTATTCATGCAAGCCCTTAAAAGGCTTGTGCCTTTTCAATGAAAAATAGTGACAAACATTGATATGGAAAATAAAGATTTAAAACATATTTTAGTACAGTTTAGACCTGTTCAACACAGAATAAAAGATTAGAAAAGCCAAGTTAATAAATAATTTTGGTATTTTTTTAGGTTTACAAGACAAATGCCTCAATGTTGTTACAGAAATTAATGGTAATTATATACTTCAACAGCAAGATTTGATCAGATTTACTCTTTTCTTTTTAAGTGTGTCAAAACAATATGTAAAGTAATTAAGGAAAAAGAAAAAGTGGACTGCTACATAGAAAAGTAAAAATGGTTGACCCTAAAAGCGAACAGGAATAAATTGACTTTATATAACATCAACACAAGGTTGAGACTCTGAGAGGAAGAGCAGCAGATTAGAGAGTTATGCTTATTTAAGTGATGAAGCAAGTCGAACTCTTTATGTTACATTTTCAAGTCGAGCCAAGAATCATTCCCACTGGTTTATTTACAAGTTATGCTTGAGTATTTACTCCCTAACATAGCATTGCTTTGTTCTGTAAGCATAAGCAGTAAATGTTTAGGTCAAGAAAACACTTYATTTTGTAACCATTATTCTTTACTGCTCATCAGTCTGCATGAAATAGATCCTTTTTGTATCACTGGAGTCAGTTTTTGAGCCATTTAAAAGTGGCAGTCCAAACATCACTTACCATTGAACAAAAAAAGTATTTTAGAAACCAAGCAGTGATTTTGGAGAAACTGAAGGTCTTTGAGCTACAGAAGAAGGTCACCACACACACACCCACACAAAAACAAACACACACAAACACACAGTCACCACTTGTTCCTAACTCTCCTCTCCTCTCCACTAGCAGGCTCTCTACTTTAAACCTGTTTTATTTTTTCCTTTTACAGTTTTGAAGGACATAATTCTCCTCCTCAGCGTTCCCTACAATAAGAGAAAAATAATTCCCGATGCTCTCAGCGTCCTTGTGATCATCCACTTTGCATTGAAAACATTGTTGTGAAAAGCTCAGGGATGTAAACATGGTCCAGAGTTGTGCCTCCTTGAGCAGACGGGGGTCAAAACATTAATATGTATATTTATGACGTGTTGTATTAAAGATTGTGACTATCTGCTTTCACTCTGGTTTTCCATTTACTTTTATCTTGTGGTATGAATAGATAATGTCTTCCTCTCTCTTCCTGTAGTGTTACAGTCACTATAGATCACAGTAGCTTTTATAGAGCAGCCAGGTCTGTAGATTCTTCTTATTGTAGAGGTCAGTGTCTGTTTTTCTAATAGAATCTTCTCTCTTTCYTTTCAACCTTCCCAATCCCACCTTTGTTGCTCATCATGACCATATTCCTCCCACTTGCCGTCAACCTTCATTTTTAACTTATTAACCTTATTTCCTCCTCTGTGACCCCCTCACCCCCACCTGCTTCCTGGTTTGATCCGTCCCTCTCCTCCACCACTCCATGCTTTCCCGTTTTAATTTCTGGTCATTTTTAATTTTGTGTTGCAATGCATGCGGGTGTACTGCCTTGTCCCRCAGACCCCATAGACCCCGATGTTGACTTGTATGAACTCTTCCATGCTCCATACACCCCAGTACCAGACCCCACCCCCATGATGCCTCCCGTGGGCGTTCAGGCCTCTGTGCTGAGCCACGACACCATCAAGGTGACGTGGGCCGACAGCTCGCTGTCCAAGAACCAGAAGATCACGGACAACCGCTACTACACCGTCCGCTGGAAGACCAACATCCCTGCCAACGCTAAAGTGAAGGTAACATATTGGTTTGAGGTGTTTTAAATTTCAAGATTTATTGAATATGAAATTGAATTCAGGAGAAACGTGACGAGAAAAACATTTTAAAAACATACTGAAGCTCATTCACCGTCTCCAGGTCGAAACTTGTTTACCTCTCAGTGGGATTCACTCAGAAACAAATCATTTAGTTTTGATCAGTCTTCAGAGATTTYCCATGCCCATGAATTCTTTCTTTTTGTTTTATCTGTTGTGATCAGTGGTGGGTAGCGCTAATCCAAACATTAGCTCTGCAATTTCTAAAGCCCTTATGAAAATATTTAGGTCTGCAACTTCAAAAGCGCTTATGCCATAGAAAAACTAGCGAGAGCTAATTTTAAAGCGCAAGTTCAATTTGACACTTACTAGCTGACAATAATTTGTGTACAATATATGCACAACACTGCCAACTAGCGGTGTACAGCTTAATCCTATAACCGCTGATTGCTGGGGATGTGATTTCCTGAAACAGACCTTTAGCTCCTGATTTAAAAATTAAAAAGTTGTTGAGGATTGCTAGTTCGGTTTCTTCTTTGTCTTTTTCTTTTCTTTATTGTAGATTTTCCATTAAAGAAGCATCAATAAAGTAATTTTAAACCTGTTTATTGGAAAACTAAAGCAATGCATTCTGGGTACATGACGGATTTGATTTGTGATGGGAAATGAAAGCACGGAGTACAGGAAACTATCTTCACTTCAAAATAAGAGCTTGGATTTTAACGTTTTCCATGTAGTTGCTCCAGTTGACCACTAGTTGTCAGTCTCCACCAGCACAACGTTTTTAAATCATTTCTGAGTCTCTAACACCGTTGGCCGATTGCTTCGACCAATTACGTTAAGTACTGAGCTCCAGCGTTTAAACTTTATTCTTTTTAAAATAGGAGCTSCGATTGTAAAGTAAAATAAATCAATACACACAAAATGTTAGTATGGATTACAAACTTTAACTGTTTTTTCTGGGACGGGGAGTTCTAAACATTGCCTTCCTGCTACGTAAGCAGACACAAAGCATTGTGGGAAATGAAAACCCTGACCGAAAGCAACAGTCAGCAAGGATGTGTACTTATCCAATAAGTGTGTTTATCTGGGAGGGGTGCTGTTGGATAGATCACATGTGTTGTGATTCATTGACAGCCTTATCTTCCACTGTTCAAGATAATGATGACTGGTAGATAATTAGTTATTAGCTGTACTGCTTTTTAAATTTAGAAAGCGCAAATCTGCTTATGAATTATAAGAATTAGTAAGACCGCTAAAGCGCAAACGAAATGTATTTAGGTCCACAATTAGCGGATTTGCGCTTTAGCGGGCTGGTGCCCACCACTGGTTGTGAAAAAGTCCATACTTCAATGTGCTTGACACAAAATATCATACGAGGGAATAAATTCAAGGTTTTTTCACACGGCAGCTTTGGCTCTCAGGGGCCACATCATGCTGATGTGTGGATCAGAGAAAAACGATGCCGTCATTTAACCCTCTGACTAATGTTAGAAGAAACGTTTTTAGAAACGATGGCAAACTTTTAAAGCAATTCACCTACTGTTACGGTTCTACAAGATGACCTAACACCTATTAACTCTGTGTTAAGCTTTAACGTGCTTTGTGTTCACTATGATTTAGAAATCAGTTAACGTCACAAMAAAACCAAAGCCAAACACTTGTTTTATTTTTTCAGCAATGTCATTTCTATTTAACAAAGAAAAAAATTTGGACAAACAAATAGATTTATACTTTCATCATGTGCCAAAGGCTTTCAGCTGGTCAGAGGCTTGGACTCTTCTGTTATGAAGACATGCAGTGTGTGATTTACCATTGTCTTGCTGAATTAAGCAAGGCTTTCCATGAAAAATACACATTGTTCTAAAACCATTTATGTACTTTTCTGCTTTGATGGCACTTTTCCATGTGTGCAAGCTTCCCATGCCAGAGGTCCTAATGCACCCCTATACCAGCAGAGAGGCAGRCTTTGGAACTAGTTGCTTATAACAGGGTGAATGACCTCTTTAGCACAGAGACATAATGCCCAAGGTTTTCAGAAATAGTTCCAGATTTTGAATCCTCCCTAGAACAGTTTTTGCCTCRGTACGTGTTAAATGAACTCTGGTCCAGAGAAGACAGCAAGCTTTCTGAATGGTGTTCACAAATAGCTTTACTAAGCTTTTGTAGGTGGACCATAAACTGTGCTTACAGTGATTTGTAAGCCCATGCAGTGAAGCAGACCTWATTTAATGCAGTGCTGAACGAGGGTCACGAAGATTGCAGGGGTTCAAGATTGAGTTTCCGAAGAGATTTCTCCAGATTCTTTAAATTTTGTGATGATGTTGTGAACTATGGATGATGGGATATTCAGTCTTCCCAGTTTTCTGTTGAGGAACGTTATTTTTTTAAATTATTCCACTAATTTTTGATAGTTGATAGTTTTGGCAGCCTGGTGAACTTTTGCCCATCTTCTCTTACTGATCTGCTGCCACTTAGAATAGAATAGAATAGAATAGAATAGAATAGAATAGAATAGAATAGAATAGAGGGCCATTTTGCAACCTGATTGGTTGCAAAATGCTAATTGTTGATTTTGTATCACTTGTGTGTGTGTGTGTGCTGCAGATTGTCAACACTTGTAAATAGAACAGTGTTGAGAAGAGTCACTGGACTCAATAGAACATTGACCAGCAGCTGGAGGTATGTGTGTGCGTGCATGTGTGTGTGTGTGTGTGTGTGTGTACGTGTGTGTGTACGTGTGTGTGTGTGTGTGTGTGTGTACTTGTTTCCACTTCAGAGTCAGGACTGTTGTGTTTTAACCAACAAAGTGAGGACATTTCCCCAGTCTTCGCTTTATTTTTTGTCATTCTACTGTGCTCTGCTAGTTAGATTTAGAGGTATAGTGTGAATTAAAGTTTTAGATAAGGTTAGGGTTGGGGAAAATATCTGTTAGGTATGAATACTGTTATAAAAATGAATGGAAGTCACTACAAAGTCCTGAGGTTGGTGGAAGTACAAGGTTTTGTGTGTGTGTGTCTGTGTGTGTGTGTGTGTGTGTGTGTGTGTGTGTGTGTGT